TCACTGGGTTGTTGTGAGTTTTCCGGGCTGTAGGGCCATGTTCCAGAAGCATTCTCTCCTGACGTTTCACCTGCATCTATGGCAGGCAGATTCAGAGGTTGTGGGATCACAATTTATTATTATTTATTTATTTACCATATTTATATACTGCCTTTCTCTGCCTGAAGGCATCTCAAGGCGGTTTACAATCGGCACAATTCAATGCTCCCAACAACATAAAATATAGTTAAAACATTAACATATAGTATACACCATACAAAAACAATAAAAGCAATGAAAAACAATAAAACACAAGTCCTCAGCATCTCATAACTAAAATCGTTTTCCAGTCTCATCGTCCAATCATTCCGTGGATCTAAATTAACCTGATACACTGCATCTGCGAATGCTTGCTCAAAGAGCCAGGTTTTAACTCTTTTTCGAAATGTTGGGGGAGGGGGAGGGGGGTGATCTATAGCTGAGGGGCCACCGCTGAGAAGGCCCTGTCTCTCGTTCCTGCCAGTCGCATCTGCGAAGGAGGCAGGATCGAGAGCAGGGCCTCCCCAGATGATCTTAGAGACCGAGATGGTTCACAGGGAGAGGTGCTTTCGGACAGGTAAGCCGGACCAGAACCATTTAGGGCTTTAAAGGCTAAAGCCAGCACTTTGAATTGTGCCCAGTAGCAAACTGGCAGCCAGCAGAGTTGGCACAGCAGAGGGGCTGTAAGCTCCTTGAGCGCTGCTCCTGATAATAATAATAATAATAATAATAATAATAATAATAATAATAATAATAATAATAATAATTAATAAAACCTTTATTTATACCCTGCTAACATCTCCCGGAGGACTCGGTGCAGCTTACAAGAGGCTGAGCCCATATACATCAGTAAAAACAATGACAACAACAATACAACAATGAATGAACTCAAAACAAAGCAATAAACATTACTGGTTGCCTGGTTGCCGCCCATTGGACCATTTGAAGCTTCCGAGCAGTCTTCAAAGGCAGCCCCATGTAGAGCGCATTGCAGTAGTCTATATGGGATGTAACCAGAGCATGGACAACATCTGAGGATGCCTACCATAGATGCAGGTGAAACGTCAAGAGAGAATGCTTCTAGATCATAGCCATACAGTCCGGAAAACTCACAACAACCCATTTTTTTGTATCTGTATCTGGACACACTGCAAAACTAATGCAGTTTGAAGCAATTTGAACTGTTATAGTTTAATGCTGAGATATTTTCTGCCTTTGAAATAAATCTCAATTTAAGCTTCTTATTAAAAGATTTCAAATGAAGTGTTCGTCCATCCCCAAAACAACATCAAACACCTCCATCGTACCACCCTTCAAGGCTTAACTGGTGTGAATGGAAATTAGCACTGTCCGGTGACAAAGGAGAATGAAATGATTGAGCACTTTTTTAGACTATAAACATATTTCTATCTTGCTTGCGAATGTCATATTAAAAGTAAGACATCTTACAAATTGGTTAAAATTAGCTAGGCTGATGTTTGCCCGGTTTCTGTGTGCATATTTGAAATCCTTAATATTTGAAGTCAATATTATCTTTTTAAAAGATACAGATCCTATTTAAGATTGATTAAACTTGAAAACTAAAAATTGGTGATAATACACATCCTGCTTTAGTTATGTTGCTTTTTGAAAAGTAAATTCATTATAAAAAATGAAAATATACAATAAGGAGAAAGCCAATAAAATACATATTGCATCTGAACAAAACTGTAATTCAAGTAGAAAGTCCAAACATATATATTTCTGACATATATATTTCTGACATGCACAAATCTCTTTTCATTGTTCTGTCGTTGGAGGTGCATCATTGTGGATATTCCTTTATTTGTTACATATATACCTTACTTTTCTTGACAAATGATGAAAGTACTGAGAAAATGATGCAGTTTGTACCGCAAGCCCTAAGTAAATATTTGAATAAGTAAAATCTTGGGAACAGTAGTAGACTACTTGGCCACAGTAGTCCACGCTCGACTAAAATGAGCAAGGGTCTGGAGAACAAGCCACATGAGGAGCGGCTTAAGGAGCTGGGCATGTTTAGCCTGAAGAAGAGAAGGCTGAGAGGAGATATAATAGCCATGTCTAAATATGTGAGAGGAAGCCGCAGGGAGGAGGGAGCAAGCTTGTTTTCTGCTTCCTTGGAGACTAGGACGCGGAACAATGGCTTCAAACTACAAGAGAGGAGATTCCATCTGAACATGAGGAAGAACTTCCTGACTGTGACAGCCGTTCAGCAGTGGAACTCTCTGCCCCGGAGTGTGGTGGAGGCTCCTTCTTTGGAAGCTTTTAAACAGAGGCTGGATGGCCATCTGTCAGGGGTGATTTGAATGCAATATTCCTGCTTCTTGGCAGGGGGTTGGTCTGAATGGCCCATGAGGTCTCTTCCAAAACTATGATTCTATGATTCTGGTTACTGCCAGAAAAGACTACTGCAATGCGCTCTACATGGGGTTGCCTTTGAAGACTGTTTGGAAGCTTCAAATGGTCCAATGGATGGCAGCCAGATTGATCACCAGAGCGGCATACAGGGAAAATACAATTCCTCTGCTATGTTAGCTCCACTAGCTGCCAGTCTGCTACTGAGCACAATTCAAAGTGCTGGCTTTAGCCTATAAAGCCCTAAACAGTTCCGGTCCAGCTTACCTGTCCAAACGACTCTCTCCCTTTGAACCATCTCAGAGCTTAAGTTCATCTGAGGAGGCCATGCACTTGGCCCCGCTTCCTTCGCAGGTGCAACTGGTGGGGACAAGAGACAGGGCCTTGCCAGTGGTGGCCCCTTGGCTGTGGAATTCCCTCCCTAGGGATATTAGATTAGACCCCTCCCTCCTGACCTTCTGGAAGAAAGTAAAAATGTGGCTTTTTGATCAAGCCTTTGAAGGTCCTATACAATAGATAAAATTGGAAATGACCATTGGAATGGCCCAGACTATGACTTTGAAATCATGGTTAACAGTGAAGGCATTGTATTGTCAAAGGCTTTCATGGCCAGAATCACTGGGTTGTTGTAGGGTTTTTTGGGGCTATATGGACATGGTCTACAACAACCCAGTGAAGGCATTTTATATGTTTAAATGTTTTAATGTATTTTATAATTCTATTTAAATGTTTATTTTAGCGGTACATTCTTTTGGAAAGCATTGAATAGTTGCCTAAGTGTAAGCCGCCTTGAGTCCCCTCCGGGGTAGAAAAAGGCGGGGTATAAATATTGCAAATAAATAAATAAGTGAAATCAAATACATCGAATCCATGGATTCAGGGGTTGTATTGTGTTGGTACATTGCTGAATTTTACATTCATATTCTAGAGCAGTGTTTCCCAAACGCTGGACTTCCAGGTATTGTGGACCTCAGCTCCAGGAATCCCTGATCATTGGCCATTGGTCTGGAAATTGAAGTCCAAAGCACCTGTAGGACTAGAGCTGGGGAATCACTGGTCAAGAATTAGGATGGAAAAAACAACCAAAATCCTGTTATGCTATGTATCTCTGCATATGCATATACATAGTAGAAGCATAGGGAAATCTGAATTTTGAAGATATGTTTATATTGCATAAAGTGTTTATTCTTTTCTGATAACAAGTGCTGGAGCCTCACCAAATGACAACCCCCATGATTCCACAAGATATAGCCATGGCAGTGGTGTCAAACTGTTAATTCTACAATGTACAGTAGATCAGTGGATCTCAACCTGTGGTCCGTGGACCACCAGTGGTTTGCAAGAATAAAAATATGGTCTGTAGCCTCACCATTACTACACCATTGCCTTGAAACTACACAGCAACGAGAGCAACTGGTCTTGTGAAGCCATCTTATAGTGCTGAGGCAATGAGGATTTTGGGAGGGGAGAGGCTGACTACCCATGAAAAATTACTACTACCACATCAGCTCTAGATTATTAAATATGGTTTTCTGTGGGCAAGCAGATGGCAACTACTGATGGCATATGTTCTGTATTAGAAACTAGAGATGGTGTGGTCTATCCAATGCAATTTTCTGAATCAGCACCCCCAAATAACCAAACTGAATCTAAAGTTGACCAAAAACATATTCGTAACGCTTTTGGTATTAACATTGGAGAGTGGTCCCTTATCAAAGTGATCCCTGGTCAAGTGGTCCATGGTCAAAAAAAGGGTGGGAACCACTGATGTAGATGCATCCCAAGACAGTATGGAGAGTTGGGCTTATGTACATAATATTTATCTAAACCTGTGGAGGATAGTGATCTATTCTTCCCCTCTTACACACTTTGAAAGGCTTTACCCTCATCAGCACCTCTGCAAACAAACTGATACCACCCTAAATGCCCTGGGAGTACTTTTCCCCTGCCCCAGTTTTGATCATGGAGGCCCCATGAGCTATAAAAATGGCCCAAATCTAAAACATTTGCACCTCTGTTGAACTTATTGCACACGACTTATTGCACATGAAATAAGGTCCTTTTCCTAATGAATGCTGCATATCTTTGGTATTGTGCTTTGGAATATTGTCCAGGACATCTAGGGTTTGAAATGACACACCCAGTATATCTTCTGTCTTGTTTATTCGAAATGCATGTTGTAGTTTCTTTAGCATTGCCTCAAAGCTAAGCCTTGGAGATGTGAGCTCATGGAGGGGAATAGGTGAAAGAAGAACCGAAATCTCTTCCAGCGAGTATGTTTACTCTGATCCTTCATTCAGCCATGATTAGCCATGCATTATTCATAGATTCATGTAATATTTATGGAAAGATTAATACAATATTTTAAAAAGAAAAGGGGTTCTTTAAAAAATTCGTCCACATTATCGAATGGTAAGTTGTATGTCAGCAACATCTTGTTAGAAAGGAGCCAGTGTGCTTATGCAAACACAATGCCGTTTTCAACAAGCACTTCATGCATGCTGATTTTAAGTAAACAGTCTACAACCTCCGTATCTGGTATATCAAATATAGTCCTTTTCTTGGGGGAAAAAATCCCACACACATTATTTCTCATTTACCTGCAGACATCCAAGAATTTTATGAGGTGACGCTGCTAAACTCCCAGAAAACATTCGAGCAGAAGATAGAAGAAACAAACCAGGTTGCTGAGAAATGGGAGAAGACTCAATCTTTAATAACAGACAACGAAAGTCAGCACAAAACCCCAGAGGTATGGTTGCATTAATTAATTACAGTAGAGTCTCGCTTATCCAACCTTTGCTCATCCAACATTCTGTATTATCCAACACAGTCTGCCTCCCGCTTGGATCCACAGCTCTTTCAATACATTGCAATGTTTTGGTGCTAAATTCGTATATACAGTAATTACGACATAACGTTACCGTTATGAACGACTTTTTCTGTTGATTTGTTGTGAAACATAATGTTTAGGTGCTTAATTTGTAAAATCATAATGTAATTTGACTTATAATAGGCTTTTCCTTAATCCCTCCAACATTTTCGCTTATCCAATGTTCTGCCGGCCCATTTATGCTGGATAAGCGAGACTCTACTGTAGTGGATCATAAACGAATGAAGAAAGACTTATTGTATATGAAATAAGGAATTGGATCACTGTTTCTTGGGATCAATTGACTGAGGAATATTTTGTTACAGAGAAATGCTTGATTTCAATTGTAGTTCTGGGTAAAACTAAAAAAATGCATTCAACAGGGAGAAATGTTAGGTATTGCACTGAGCAGAAAGAAATGAAATGCAGAGATATAGAATGGCTTTGCAATCATACCTGTAAAAGAGCTCTAGGAGTTTTAGGACTTTATCACACATCCTATAACCCAAGTTGCAGCTTCTTAACCCATGGGTGAAAGTGGATCCCGCATACAAACCGGCATGAGCACTACGGTCTGTGGAGGAGGCCCTCCTCTCGGTCCCACCCCGTCTCAAGTACGGCCAGTGGGAATGAGAGAGAGGACCTGGTTTCTAAGGGAATTTCTGGCTTCAAGTGAGTTTAGCAGAGGCTAATCTGTTCATGGCAGGGGTTCTCAACCTTCCTCATGCTGCGACCCCTTAATACAATTCCTCATGTTGTGGTGACCCCCAACCCTAAAATTATTTTCCTTCCTACTTCGTAACTGTCATTTTGCTACTGTTATCAATCGTAATGTAAATATCTGATACGCAGGATGTATTCACTAGACCAAATTTGGCACAAATACCCAATACGCCCGAATTTGAATACTGGTGGGGTTGTGGTGGTGGTGGTGGGTTGATTTTGTCATTTGGGAGTTGTGGTTGCTGGGATTTGTAGTTCACCTGCAATCAAAGAGCATTCTGAACTCTACCAATAATGGAATTGAACCAAACTTGGCACACAGAACTCCCATGGCAAACAGAAAATATTGGAAGGGTTTGGTGGCCATTGACCTTGAGTTTTGGAGTTGTAGTTCGCCTACATCCAGAGAGCACTGTGAACTCAAATGATGATGGATCTGGACCAAACTTGGCATGACTACTCAACATGCCCAAATGTGAACACTGGTGGAGTTTGGGGAAAATAGTCCTTGACATTTTGGGAGTTGTAGTTGCTGGGATTTGTAGTTCACCTACAATCAAAGAGCATTCTGAACCCCACCAACAACAGAATTGGGCCAAACTTCCCACATAGAGCCCCCATGACCAACAGAAAATACTGTGTTTTCTGGTGGTCATTAGTGACCCCTCTGACATTCCCTCGTGACCCCTCCAGGGGTCCCGACCCCCAGGTTGAGAACCATTGGTTCATGGATTTCTGTTGAGAGTTTTCTGGACATTACTGCTTTGGATTTTCTGCAAGCTTTCTGAACATTGCTGTTTGCTTTTGGCTTTTTTACCTTTGGACTTTAATCTATTTTATATTCATCATTCAATAAAAAGGATAGTATTCTTCCTAAACCAAGGTGTGGTATATTAATGGCAAGAGAGCCATGTTTCCTACTCTGGAGTGCAACAGGGTACAAGTATGGAAAATAAACAAATAAATAAACTTGTACATCTCCACAGCAGGGAGATGAAGGGGTATATTTAGTTCTCCACCAGTAGTATAGTTGATAATGGAGGAATAATAATGCAGTTAAGATAGAAAATGTATTATTCGGGCATCACTTGGATTTCTCTTCCACTTTCCAAACAAGTATAGTCATTCTCCACATTTGCAATGTTGACTTTTACAGCTATGATTATTCACGGATTCTCCATGATTATTCTCTAGGAATCTCTAGATCAGTGTTTCTCAACCTGTGAGTCCCCAGATGTTTTTGCCTTCAACTCCCAGAAACCCTAACAGCTGGTAAACTGTCTGGGATTTCCTGGAGTTGTAGGCCAAAACACCCGGAGACCCACAGGTTGAGAACCACTGCTCTAGATCCTCCAGTGTGACTCTGTGGTCAACTTCCACCAGTCAAAATGGAGGACCTAGAGATTTCTAGAGAGAACTAGGTCACCTGATGCAACTATATGATCAACATATAGCAGAAGATGATCTAGAAGATCTAGACATTCTAGAAAGTGCTCCTTCAGGTAAAAAAAATAGCAATTTTATTGTGGAGGGCTGATTGTAGTTTCCAAATGTTCCATCTTGTCTGCTTTTTGTCTTTAGTTGTGTTTTTGGAGAATATTGGTGCACTCAGTGGGCAGGTGACTACTTGCCCTAAGTGACCAGAAAACTAAGGTTGGCTGGGACTCTCTATATTACTCTATGTGGGTTCCTCCTGTGTCCTCAAAGCATTTCAGGTCATGACAGATAAAAAAGATGAAGGAAGACACTGCAGATCTAGAGTGCAGGTATAATATAATTCTTGACAGTCAGTTTCCAAGTGTCCTCTTATGTCCTGCACCAGCAGTACAGTGAAGCACTAACTAAAGGCAGCCCAATGGGAATCACTTCACAATGACATTAGAAGGGCATGAAGGATGGTTGCTAGGTTTGCAGATGTCAGCAGCAGCCAGTCCCAGTAGCAGCAGAGTGCAACTCATGTGGGGAGAAAGCAGTCTATTCCTCTTAGATGGCAGACTCTTAAGAAGAGCTTGTTCTCAGGTCAAACTATCAGAACTTGGAAAAAATAACTTTGTAGATGACACTTCTCAAAATTCCTCATCCAGCATGGCTACTGAACACCTGACCTTCTGAAACACACATGGAGGTGGATCATGTTTCATTCATATATCACTGATTGTGCATCTTCGTCTCCTCCTTTGCTCTGTTCTTCATTAGAAAGGGGTGCTTTGACTTGACAATTTGGTTCACCCTTCCCTGTGCTGGCAAATTGAACTCAAGGACAAGCCACAGCACATGATTAATACCCTATGTACTTTCACCTTCACTCCTTGAATAGGGATGAAAGAGGAATTTGTTGGGTTCACATTTGAATGCAAACCAACTACATAAGTTTTAATGAAAACCAACTAATATCTCTTTATAAATGCATTTCTCCATATTTTGCAATGCAGATTTTCAAATAGGTTGAAAATGCATATAACAGAGGCAAGTGCTCACAAAGTATGTGTATTTATAAAATGATATTAAATGCATTACATGAGATGCAATTGCTTGTATACATACACTAGCTGTCCCCTGCCACACATTGCTGTGGCCCAGTCTGTGCATATGTGCTTTGTGTGTGTATATGTGTGTGTATATATTTGTGTATATGTGTATATACGTGTATTTGCATATATATGTGTGGTTTTGTGCATGCATTGTATTGTAATTTTATTTTTTTGCTTTTTAAGTCCCTTCCACTGTGTTTTTCAGTGTTTTTATGAGTGATGATCACTTGTTGCCCTGATAGGTGTATTGTGTCCAAATTTGGTCTCAATTCATCCAGTGATTTTTGAGTTATGTTAGTCCCACAAACAAACATTACATTGTTATTTATTTACTAGCGGTCCCCTGCCATGCGTTGCTGTGGCCCAGTCTGGTGATCTGGAAAATAAAGTAATGAGAAAGTATTCATTTCTAATCTATGTAATTTCTTTCTGCTTGTGGGTAAACAGTATTTCTTGCTGTTTCTTTGTCAGTGTTGATGTGGAGATTGCCTACTCTGGAATATGCAAGATATCATTGTCCTTCTTTAGGGGTCCCCTTCAAACCTATGATACTATGGTATATCTCTGTGTATGAATAATCTATATAAATAAAAATGTCAGGAGAGTTTTGATTACGTTTTCTTGCCTTGGTGAAGGGACTTGGACTGGATGACCTTAAGTATGGGGATTCTGTGAGGGAAGTTTGCCCCAGTTATGTCGTTGGTGAGGTTCAGAATGCTCTTTGATTGTAGGTGAACTATAAATCCCAGCAACTAAAACTCCCAAATGTCAAGATTCTATTTTCCCCAAACTCCACCAGTGTTCACATTTGGGCATATTGAGTATTCATTCCAAGTTTGGTCCAGATCCATCATTGTTTGAGTCCACAGTGCTCTCCAGATGTAGGTGAACTACAACTCCCAAACTCAAGGTCAATGCCCACCAAACCCTTCCAGTATTTTCTGTTGGTCATGGGAGTTCTGTGTGCCCAGATTGGTTCAATTCCATCTTTGGTGGGGTTCAGAATGCTCTTTGATTGTAGGTGAACTATAAATCCCAGCAACTACAACTCCCAAATGACAAAATCAATTTTTTGAGTGAAGGACATACATTGGGTTGTTAGGTGTCTTGTGTCCAAATTTGGTGTCAATTCGTCCAGTGGTTTTTGAGTTATGTTGCTCCTACAAACGAACATTACATTTTTATTTATATAGATTTAGATAGATGATAGATAGATAGATAGATAGATAGATAGATAGATAGATAGATAGATAGATTAGATAGATAGATAGTAGGTTACAATATGTACAAAATTACCTATATTGAGAAACTAAGGTAGACATGGGGTGGTGTGGATTTATGAACGTAAGAAAGTGAGAGAAAATTAAATATATAGATTGACATCTCTTTGTTTGAATGTCGAAGCTGCAATATTTCTATTTTCTTGTTCTTTGACGGTTGGTTTTGCTAACCTCTCATGTATCTGCCTCAGTGAGCTTTTTAAAAATCCCAATTTTTAGAATACATCTTCATTCCTGCCAACATGACTTTTTGCCATAAGAACCATTCCCTCTACTCTGAAGTTATTTACCAGCAATTTAACATTCTCCAGATGGATTTGATTACAGCGAATCATAGAATCACAGA